TGGTAAACAAGCTTCCTCGAATCGATCGAACGAATCAATGTAATCATATGGCATCACCCCCTTTCTTGTCAGTAAACCAATTTTGTCTTCGTCTAGCTCTGCGAACTGGGACCTTAAGTTGGGGTATTCAGGTAGGTACGATGCTAGTTTATCCAAGGATGAGCTCATAAATCGAAAACTATCTATGAAGCGAAACTGAACGGGATACTCATCAATATGCTTGGTGAATGAGATGTATTTTTCTTTTGTTATGGGTAATAAATCAATTGATCCCTTCATTCTGTTGGCAATGTCTGCTATGATAAAATGAGCATCATAGCCGCTCAAGTTATGAAACACCACAGATATCACGTGAGAATCTTGGTGATTAAGGTTGCAGGGTGCTGAATGGGCAGGACCTCGGTAGTTGTTGTTGGGAATCAAGTGGTTATGATCTCGAACTTTGTCACTTGGTGAAGTGAAAGGCTGCTCGCAGATGTGGCAATTTGTGGCTTTCTGAAACTCTGCTTCTTCTGTTTGAGTCATGTCAATATCATATGGACACCAGAACACAGTTGCCACATTTTCCGCTAACTGGGACATCTCATCTGCGAACCACTGCATACATTCTGCACCTCGGAATGACTTGTAAAAGGATAATGAATCATCATATGAACACTTTAGGTAATATCCTACAGCAGCTGGAATATGTTGTTGAGTTCTTTTAGAATCTGCTGTAGGTGCTAGGACGCTTTCCAAGTCCGCATATACTATGAAAGGCGCCCTTTCCTTGTTCTTGTAATTTTTAAATCTTAATATATTTTTTCCAATTTCTGGCATCTTAATTTTTGTGTCATTCATCTTTGCACAGTCTTCCTGATGCTTTTCAAGCTTATCTTGCGATCTGAAATAGTGCAGGCAGCGGTCGCAGATGTGTTTTTTCCCATCATGCTTGCTCAGCTGTTTGGATACTAGTCTGGAGAGATTCTTTATCCAGCAAAAGTGAAATTTGGTTGGAGCGTCTTCTCCCCCATCGCCATATTTATCTTGTATCATCAATAAATTCACATGTTTGTCTTTTTTATTACGGGTTAAATATGTCGGTAGGACTTTAAAGGTTTTTCCTGATTTTTCAAGCTTGTAAACATTCACAGATAGGCTATTTTGTTTCTCGAAATTGGGAATTTGTTTCAAGGTCATCGGAAACTGAATCCCTTCCAACTTTAGCACTTCTCTGAAATCTGGGTATTTGCTTAATCGTTGAGGATCTTTTTCCGCTGGAAACAATGCCGAAACTACTGCCCATGCAAAACATCTAGCATCATTGTTCTGCACGTTTATACAGGCCTTTTTATGTTTTATTGATGGAGGTAGCTCGATGTAGGAGGATCCTAGTTGAGGCGTGAATTTGTTAATGTTGATGCCCAAATTAACAATTTTCTTCAGCGCCCAACCACTGTCACGTTCTTGGAACTCTTCTAGTTCGATCATAATTGGTTCAGTGACCTTTTCGTTGAACCACTGGTCGAGATTGGTGTCTAAGTAGATGGGGGAGTTGGAGGTGGTAAAGTACTTGAATTCTTTAAGTACTTTACCACCTTTCACGATTTCGAATTCGCCACAAAACGTCGCATTCACTTTTATGCCCTGTTCTTTTTTGAGAGCGTTGTAAATACGTCTCCTAAAAAGTTTCTTACAATCCGCTAAAAATGTCTGAGGATCTTTATGCTTTAAATTTGAGATGACTCCAGTCCTTATTCTGCTGTTAAAAGCAGAAATGGAGTCATCCCAATGCACCCGCTCCCCCGCTTGTTCAGGACGTGATGTAATTCCCGCACCCTTCTTCAGCATTGTCTTAAATTGATTTCTAAGAGTCCTTATGTGTCGGAGTGAGGCCTCCAAGTGCTGCTTTTCACCCATGGTCTTTGCTCCTTTGAGAGCCTTGTTGAGCTTGCGGGCTCCTCGAGTACACTCGAGGAGCCCGTCCCTCACAGCCTGGTCCGTATTAGCGGGAGTAATGAGCCCGAGGAGAGCAGCTATATGTCTCAGCATTGCAGCAAAGTCTGGCATCATGTTATCTGTAAAAGATTAAAAAATTTAGTTTTGATCAAAGGTGTTAAAGTAATATTTTATGAAATCAAAAAATTGTTATCTCTCAAACTTATAATTTAGTAGAACAATCTGCTAAATTAAAGAATAATCTACTTAAATAGTTGACCACACCTTTTGGCTACGTTTTACATCTGAGATAATAACCACAATTAAAAAATCCTTATACTTAAATCCAAAAATAAACTGTTATCAAAAAAATGTTATCAAAAATAAATTAACTCACCTTTGAAAATATTTTCAAGAAGAAACACTGTTTTCAATAAAACCACGAAACACAGATAAAAATTCGGGATGATTAGAGCACCTAGTTATCTCTATGACGCACTAATCTCGAATGAGCATCCCGATTAAGCGTAGCCCTTTTAACCTGTAGGACGGACGGAGGACAGAACGGTTTTCGTGTAACTGATGAGAAAGGCCCCCCAATCTATCAGGTGCTTGAAGACGTTTTCCATAAGAATCAATGTAAAAGTGTAGCAATTATCGGTTTTTACCCAATTTGAACACATTTTCCCATTTAAATACATGCATTTTTAGTTTAAAGCTTTGCGGTTTTGTTCAAGATACGATGTGGGTGGTGAGTCATCAATGCAATTATTTCATAAGTGAAAAATGGTGCAAGTTAAATGATACCATCCAGCAATAAACTTGATTTTTCGTTTTGGGGGCTTCTGTTACAAAAAATTTTGGTACAGGAACGTTTTCACTTCTATGAAAAATGTTTTAGGGATAATTTAAAATTATTTCGTCAGTTATCAGTTAAATGATGGCTGCAAAACCGCAAGGTCTTCCTGTTGCCAAATTTCATGGAATAGTTATTATTTTGATCGAATCCTCAGTTTTTTCTCTGAGGATCTAGGATCTTTTTTTTTTTAGATAACATAAGTAATTGGAATCATTTTTGGATATAAAATTATAATCAATATCTTTTCAAGGTTGGACTAGACTCCAGAGAGATAACGCCTCTTATAGCTTTACTTAACCTTTTCAAATTAAACAATAATTTGCTTTTTTTTGGTTTATGAATCGAAATGATGTGTCTCTTATTTGTTGTGATTATTATTGATTAGTTTGATTATTGGAGCATTGGAGCCAAATGATTATGTATGAGAATGATGAAGCGTGAGGGTGCTGGATTGCAAGTGTGTTTGTATGTCCGATGCGGTCATTGACCCCGCCTTAAAGGCTGTGTGCAAGCTAGTGTGATCGACTGAAGACACAGGCTTTGGAAAGGTGTTGGGTTATAGCGACGGTAGCTGGCGCGCTGGATGATGTTTACATGAAATATATTTTATATTATAAAGTAAAATTATTTTGTCAGTTATCAGTGTAATGATGGCGGCAAAACCGCATGACTCGATTGGTATAGTGTTCATTTTTAAATTAAACTTTTAAACTAATCTATGTTTCTTAGATATTTTATAATTACATCGCTAGTTATTTAAAATTGTTCTTGCGAACGTGTAAAAAAATTTGGTCTTGTCTGCTGAATTTCTTGAAATAATTGATTGGTACCTCTTGTTGATATCACCCAAGTAAGTGAAATTATTTTGAAATAATTGGCTATCTGTGTTATCAGTAAAAACCGCAACTCTTGTTTAGACTCGTCAACTAGTTTTGAATTGAACTTTTATAGTAATCTATGTTTTTCAGGCATTTTATAATTACATCACTTATTGTGAGGTGCTCATGTATTAATGTTACTGAATTTCTTGGAATAATTGATTGAAACCTCTGATAAAAAAATAACTAGGATCTTTTTCGATACTTAACACTCTTTTTATATTATAATCAATTTTTTCCAAGGCAATGGTTGTCTATTAGATGTATGCACTGAGCTGATAATAAAACCCAGTTTCCTACAAAACCATAACAAAAATAATTTGTGTTTGTTGTGCGAGAGAGAGAGAGAGACAGGTATGCACGGTCTATGTCCACTCGATGGATTCGCTGAATATTTTACACTTTTTATTTCCTCGACAATTATTTCACCCACATCAATTTTAATTAGTAACGCCATTATCAGTATGAGGTATGCGGCACACAAAGTGCCAATATGTCCGAGGTAACTGACCGCTCCTCATGCTTGCATGTTGTCTCCTCCTTTTCACCATTTATTATCAACTGCTAGAATAGCCTAGTGGTTGCTGCAGCGGGCTTTCAAGCTGGCGACGGGAGATCGGTTCTCAGTGGTTACCGACTTTTTTTTTAATTTCTATTTCGTGATGCTGTAGCTGCGTGGGCCTATTATATATGAGAGCGGGAGAGAGAGAGAGGTATGAGGTACGAGGTTGAGGTATGAGAGCAAGAGAGCGAGAGTTACGGCATCATCAGTATCAGGTAGCAAGTATGTGTGGCTGCCTCGGCGGCTACTGAGGTAGTGCGAACGGACGATGCAGACCTGGGCGCTGGAAAGGGGGCGGGGCCTAATTCTAGGAAATTTTACCCCCACTCCAAAACGGTCCGAAAACTGGCAGAATGGACCTGAAATTTTCTTATGGAGATTTACATGGGAAAATGACCGATTTTGCGCCAGTTCTGTCCTAGCACCTTTACTACCTTTGGCTCTCGAAACTAATTTCAGTCCATTAAATTGCAACAAAGTAGAGTAATTGCTTGTTATACCTAAATACAAAGAAAAATCAAAAACCAATTGATTTGAAACAAAAATAAAACCATTCGATTAATAATTGGATTCGGTCACGCATACTTATACTTATGTTGCTTAGTGGGCACCAGACATTCTTCTTGTTAAGAAAATCTTCATAAATTAAGTTATTTTGTAGACTTTGAATAAGGGAAAATGTATTTTTTTTTTATGGTTCCATCAAAATCTCCTGATAATTTTAATGCTATAATGATTAGCATTTTAAAATCTCCATTAATCAAAAATGAATGAAAATTATTACCTTTGGAGGTTCTTGAGGTGGCGATTCGCTAGGTGGCAGGCAGGAGCTCAGCAGCTTCTTTTTGAGCGATGGCGGAAGTCTTTTACTCATTGGACTACTTCTACGTTCCATGACGCGCTGTTTTAAACGCACCTTCAGGAGGTTAGGCTCGGAGGCTGGAAAAAAAAAAGGTTTTGTTAAACTTTAAATTTTGCTTTTCTTTGTTACCATGAACATAAGTCAAACGATTAGTCAGTTTACACTCAAGATTTATATTTAGCTAAGAATTTTATAAATATTTTAGTCCTTGATTAAATAAACAGCATTTCTTAAAATAGCACAGGTTGAACGTTGAATTAAATTTACATGATGAATTATTTGTATTTATTTTGATCGAAAAAATTAATAATTATAGCTATGTTTTGGTTCAAACTTCAAATGAGAACCAGTTTGAAACAGCTGATTGGTTCTAAGTAGAAATTAAAACAATGCCAATGATTAATCACATCATGTTTCAGATTTTCGTTCTATTCGAAACAAATAGTTGTTTGCGCATCAGTATAATAACATGATGCGCTCCATTTCTGAGCCAAGTTTAAAATCATTTCAATAGCCAATTACTTCAAATCAAAGTCCACTTAAGTAATTTGAATAAAATGGAATAATTAATTTGGGAAGGGTCAACGAAAAATTAAGGTCATCGAGATTGCTATTTCCATTACGCATAAGCTAATAAAATGCGTTGTTGATATACCAAGCGAAAGTATTTTATAATTTGTAATTTTCTTATTGGATCTTTTTCAATTATTTTCGCAGGGATGTTATTTAATTATTCCGCTCTCGCAACAGAGTATTTTGAAAATACATTTTCGTATTCTAGTAATATATTGGATCTGCGACTTGGCAAAATATGGATTACTGAGCAAATACCTGCCAAACTTAGATATGCCTCCATAGACAAAATAAGGCTCAATGTGGAAACTACACAGGAAAATCTTTACGTTCTGTTGCGAAAAAGATACTTGCCAAGATATAAACAAATCGTCTAATCCCAACTGCCGAAAAAAACCCTCCAGAAATACAGTGTAGCTCAAAACCCAATTGAGGTTCAGCTGACATGATTTTCAATGCAAGACAAATGCAAGAGATCGTGAGTACTGCTCCATGATCTGAAAACCCTGAACTAAAGACAGTACAATCAACGAAGTTTGGATCAGAAGATGACACGACGTAGTCGATAGTGCTAGATCTGATTTTAGTTACTCGGGTTGGAGATTGAACATGCATGACTATACCAAAATATTCAATGTATAGACTGAATAATTCTTGAGCAGCACAAAATCTATGGGAAAGTCACCACATAAAATTAATTTAGGTACTATGTATTTAGAGGGAGGGGCTCAAGCTCTATGATGATGATTTATTGAATCTGCGTCTTGGTAAATAAAAACTCTTCGTAAAGGTAAACAAAACATAAAAATATTTGACGAAAGATTACAGAGTAGTCTGAACTTACAAAAAAGTGCAGCATTTGATGGAAAAAGAGATCGAGAAAGACATAGCAGACAAAAGGTAGAAATTCTGACCGTAAAAAACAAGAAACGGAGAAATATATGAACAAGCACAAAAGAATAAAATAGTAAAAACACGCAAAAGAAACTTTAAGCTATACGTATATTTGTAGATACAAATCCGAAAGAAAAAGAAAAAGAAAATAAAACTTCAATTTATAATGTAGAAAAAGTCTAATACCTCTTCATGTAATAAAATTTAAAAAAAAAAAACAATATTCCGGAAGAAATGACGTATTATACATACAAAACGCGATATAAATAGAATACACGTTCTCAAATTCAACAAACAAAAACCTATTAAAAATTTAATAACGGCGTTTACCTGTTTTCCGTAATGGAAAATCGTTATTCGTTGTCGAAGAATCCGATGCCGTGTCCATTCCTTCCGACCTGAAATCAAAAAAATTGAAAAATTAATTAATAGTGGAATTTTGTAAGTTTTGTTTTTGTGATAATATAGAGCAACATCTTTTGTCTGCTATAGGTATATTTTTGATGGACCGACTGGTAACGTCATTGGCAAATTTATCCTGCTGGTACAACTAAGAACTGAATTCGATTAAGTAGGATAAATTTCCAGTCTGTCTATAATTTGGCTCTAGCTTTGACTTATTGTACAACTTGTTTTATAGAAGTTCTTGAAAATATTTGATAGAATTAAGCATTGAAGGTTTTCTTCCAATTTTACACAGATTCATTGCTGAGACTTCTTTCCTTCACAAGCGAAGTTGTGTTTCTAAAACAACAAAGTTGCAATCAATAATTTAGTTCCGCTTTTACATAATTTCGAAATCAGCACGTGAAGGTGAAGCCCGGTAACGTGTGCCTTAATGACCGGCACTCCGGCACTACAATTAAGTGCCATAAAGGCTGAAATATGCATGAATAGTGGTTTATAATATATTTGGCCGTGGTCCAGGGAATGGATTTTGTAGGACGAATGAGAATAATTTTTTGGATTTCAATATTGCACTGATTCTATCTATCTATTTCTCAGTCAAAAGGATCTAGGTACTTAGAATAAATAAATATAACGAGTAGGAATTTGGATTCCAACCATTTAAGGGCACCCATGATGCCATGTTTAATCTTTTGGAACAGGTATTCATCAGTCTTAAAGAAAATGAGATTGTCGCCATTGTGTTTTGTGATTTCTCTAAAGCCTTTGATTGCGTAAATCATGAAATGAATGCTTAAAAAGCTAGAAATCTATGGTTTCGGAGGAATCTCATACTCATGGTTTGAATCTTATGATTTGTTAAGATTGGTGATACTCAGTCATCAAACTTAGCTGTGGCCAATGGTGTTCCACAAGGATCTGTGTTGGGACCAATATTATTTTTACTTTATTTAAATGATATTAATCACCTCCCTATTAGGGTAAAATTAACATCATTCGCTGATGACATTATACTGGTACTGGAAGGAAAAAAAATATTGAAGAGTTGACAGAATATCTCTGAAGACCTAAATCTTGTAAAGAGCTGGTGTGACTCTAAAACCAACATATTGATATTTTTGATGATTCAATACTAGACACACACACAATAATTGAAAACAAGACAAGCTGTAAATTTCTTAGTAATCATGTGGATACTCAACTTAAGTTTAATGAACATGTTACAAATTTGAATAAACGATTGGCAAATGGTTGCTATGCTGTAAGAATAGCATCAAATGAATTTGGTTTAAATACTGCTATATAAGTTGGTTTATTTTTCGTTACCTAGTTCAAGCACATATCAGGTATGGCATATTGCATTTTGGGGTAACTGTTCTAATAAATTGTTTGATTATGTTATGTGTGTGTGTTTTCCTTGAGAATCGGTGTTGTCGATATGTATTTTCTCTCCTACTTCATTCCATTAGTACCTTAATGATGCTATCTTTTGGCTTTCTGCCAAGAAATGGAAAACATTTAGTTGCAAGGTAATTAATTTTGTTAATTCCTTCTCATATATAGACAAAAATGCTTTAATCAGCCACTTCGCGAATTACTTATAATAATTAAAAATCATCACAATGGTTTTATCACTAAATTGTCATTTCATTCAACGAAATTTTAATTTTGGCGATATCAACAATGTATTTCCATTGCCTCTATTTATAGATGATAATCAAGTGGGCTGATAAGAATATCATACAAGTCTGGAACATTTTTAGAAAAATTGGTGACAAAAAAAAAGTTGATATTTTTTCCTTTGTCTGTGTAAGACACATTACATTATTGCTGTTGTGGACAGATAGCCTTTTAAAAATAAACCCAAACCAAACTAAAAATAGTAAATTTCATTAATAGAAATGTCCGTTTAACGTTGCGTTTCGTGACTCAATGTGAATTTTTCTACCACATGTTGGAGTGTATTTTTAAACCTCCAACACGATTCGATGTTGACTATAATAATTGCTTATGGCTGCCGATATTTCTAACTAATCGAATAAAATATAATTGAAAATATAAATATTTATCAAACAATAATTCATTATATTACTGAGTGATGGATATACTTTTAGGATTGAAATGTTAACATAAATATTGGTAAAATAGAAATTATATCCTAACTGTAAGTGATAACTGTAATATAATTATTTTGAGGTTGCAAAACCCCTCTTATGCATAATACCAATCAACGATAATACAAAGATCTGCTGGTGTATAAATTTAGATTCAAAATTGATCGTTTTTTTCACACAAGATTAGATAAAAACCTCGAAACTAAATGTTCTTTGATCGATAAGCTTGTAGTAGTAAAAAAAATACTGATTGTTATGTTTACACCTGTGACGTGTGCGATATCAGGCAAATTGATAAGGAATAAAGTGACACAATCCTTTGGATAAATACAGAGGCAATAAACTAATGTAAATTTTATACTGACGGATGGAGGGAGAACAATGAAAAATTTTAATTTAGAAAGCCTAATAGAATTAGTACAAAAATAGACATTTTACGACGAGTGCTTATCTTTTTATTTATTTATTTATTTTGAAAGTATGTAATGCATTTGCAAATAATATAAAAATGATTTGTTATCTTTGTATCATGGGCGTGCAATTAGGAGAAGAATTCGGTTTTATACCATTTAAGAAACGGAAAAAATTACCAGAAACAACAACAGAACAAACGGAAATTTTTCAATTTGGATATTCGACGAACCCATATACATATTTTTGTTTTGCCAATAAATTACTCGATTTGTATTTGAAAAATAATCAGCATACTAAAACCCGATTTTATGAATCCGTAATTAGCGTTTCCAATGAACGACACCGAGAAATTAATAACACTTAATTCTAATTGAGAAACTACGATTTTTGGCACGCCCATCTTGGACCACCGAATAATGTTATTTCCATTAAATTTATGATTGATGCTTGTCGTTCAAATTCGATTTCGGGTTTTATTTATATACGAAATTAGCACTAGCGGTGGTGGCGATATTTATTTTTTCTAATTATAAGTGACGAGCTAAACATATCGTGAAGTTTATTTTTGTCCGACCCTATCAAGAAGTGGGTCATTAGTATAGCCATTTGAATATACATGAAAATTTAGGAGGTTATCAGAAACACTACTTGTAAAATATACATCTTTGCTTGAATTGATTTCAGTTCTTGAACCTATAGATTTTTTAACTGTTTCCTGTTGTACTTTTGCAAGAAATCGTCTGCCATTGTCAAGGTCTGACTGTTAAGGATTGTTGTATCGGTATTCCATAACTTTTTTTATTGATAATACGAAATTTGAGGAACAATCGATTTGGGCAGTACCATGCAATATACACTTCAGTTGACTTACAAATTTCTTTGAGGTTGATTTAAGGGAGTAAAACTAATAATTGCGATTCATCGAAAAAATGTTTTTTTTTTTTTTTGGTGTTAAAATATGGACATTTCCACCCTAGTCTCGGGTACAAATGGTACTGGAAGTTATAGGCACTATCAATGTACACCGTTTAGGGAGACTCAGTTGACTTGCAAATTACTTTGAGGGTGGTTTGAAGGGTTAAAACTAATAGTAGCGATTCATCGAAAAAAGGATTTTTGTGAAAATATGGACATTTCCCCCCTTGTCTCGGCACAAATGGTATACTGGAAGTTATAGGCAGTACCAATATACACCGTTTAGGGAACCTCGACTTGCAAATTACTTTGAGGGTGGTTTAAGGGGTTAAAACTAATAATTGCTATTCATCAAAAAAAGGGTTTTTGTGGAAATATGGACATTTCCACCCTAAGTCTCAGATACAAATGGTACTGGAAGTTATAAGCAGTACCAAAATACACCGTTTAGGGAACCTCACTTGACTTGCAAATTACTTTGAGGGTGGTTTAAGGGGTTAAAACTAATAATTGCGATTCATCGAAAAAAGGGTTTTTATGAAAATATGGACATTTCCACTCCACTAACTCCAACTTTTTCAATTTTCCACAAAAATTTTCTCTATAAATAAAAAAATGGCAGCCGGAAAGCAATCTCGTACGGGCACCCGGTATGAACTAATGACTAAATGATTTTTTTCTTCCTGAAGTAAAGCGAGGACAAAGTTCTAGATGATTTCTCCCTCTGAAGTTATCTGGGGTTGAAAAAATTACCGAATATTGACAATATTTGGGAGTAAGGCCACATAAAACACAGATTTAGTAATGAAATATTTTAAGCCTATTCAATGAATGTAGGTATCACTATTTCTATTCAGGTACTGTCAAAATATCAGCAGTTTTTATCGTTTTCCTTTCTCAAAGTTCATTATTCAGATAATTAATACAATAGTCCCAGGGCCGGCTCCAGACATTTCGGCGCCCCGTGCAAAAAGTATTTTTGCCGCCCCTCCCACCGATTCCTATTTGCTAAACTTGTGAACGCACCTTTTATTGCATCAAAATTTGACGTTTTCAACAAGGCGTTAATGCCAAAATTGTGTCAGTTTTTGGCTTTATACAAGGCGCGTTCAAGCTTGCGGACGCGTGAAACTGCTAGCAAGAGGTGTTTTCAAGTTATCGTTTTTCGAACTGATCGCGAACCAGTTGGAACTGCGCTGAACTAATTGCGTACTAAGTGGTGAATTACAGAAGCTCTGCAACAGCAAGATACAAATGCAGGACCTACAAGTCTGACTTTTTGTATAACAGAAGCAGAACGCATTTGCAAGTCGCCTGCAAATTTGCGCAAGATGAAACGGTCCTTGTAAGTGCTTGCCAGTTCTTGCAGTCACTTTGACATTTTAAACTGGTAAAACAGTAGCGCCCAAATACTATTTTCGATAAATATGTCGGAATTGCAGATTTTTTTCTGTACCTAATTTGCTCGTTTCTGCATGCCCATATGCAAGTCGGCCATATTTGCAGAACTGCAAATTTGCATGTGCAAATATACTGTAATTGGGAAC